GAGTACTTACTTAATTATTACGACTAATTATTTTTTTTCCAATGAAATCAGACTAAGAGATCGGAGTAAAAGAGAATAGAATCGAAATGCTTAACAATATATGTTTATATGCACGGACCGATGATAGCCTTGCTCGTATTTTTCTCTCTGCTTATCTTTAATGGCCGGTAATAAAAGTATAATTAGTCTGTAATATCTTCTGAGAGTCTGCAATTAGTCTTCGTGTAACGTCTTATGCGTGGTGGTCAACGGTATATCGTTCATCTCAACCAATTTATAAATCGTTCGTTATTAATAATTCATATTTGCCGATAACTGATAACAATAGGTATATACAATAAAAAAATAAAATAAAATAACAAAAATAAACGTTATGTTATTGAAGACTGTCAGAGATAATAAATCGTAATTATTGGACCGAGAGTCTAAAAATAATGGCAAAGTATGATGATAAATAATACGACACTGGGGAACCACGTAAAACCTGCTATTAGGAAGTGAAAAATGATAAAGTGCAACAAAATTCTATAGCTACAGTCGAATATCATTCGACTGACCGTACGTAATGCACGCTACAACTACTCCGGAATAATTCATTTCTCACATTTGAAATCATTTTTAACGATTCTCTCGAATAACCGCGATTATTCGAAACGATATTAATAGAGTCATTTTTGATACGACATCACGAATTTATCTTTTATTTAACATCTGATATTAAAATTGTCATCGCACGATGTTTATCGTTATAAATTAACATTTATATTTGCGTTATATTTACTCACGCAATTAATCCAATTATATAATAAAATAGGCTATAATGTTACTTTGATCTTTTCAACACCTTTGTTGTGAATCATCACATTTTTCATGTTCCTCTTAAATTTTATTCAACGTTATACGGAAGGAGTATATTTCTTAAAGGGACCCTTTAAGCCAAGACACTTAACCTAAGTTTATGGTCACTAAAAAGAAGAAACGAAAAGAAAGAAAGACAAGGATGATTTAAAAAGATAAAAGAAAATGTAAAACGGTAGAGAGTAGTCAGTCGAGTCGCTTTGAACGCGGAAGAGTCGAGAAAGAGAGAGCTGCATAAATGTTAAACGGTCCGTCGGGTAGAGCGCACGATGCAAGGTCGAGGACTCGTAACTTTTTAGCCAATGCTCGTTTTGCCACCATGTAGGTGGTAGTTCTTCTTCTTCTTCTTCTTCTTCCTTCTTCTTCCTTCTGCTTCTCCTTCGGATGTATTCGCTTTATGGCGCCCGTTGCTTTACGACTGTTTTACGGCGTGGCAAACGGCTCTCGGCACGAGCTCCCGCAACCCATAACTGTCAAATCCAAGTGTCATTTATGGCTCTCTAATCTTTAGGAGACCAGCTGTCCGCGACGTTCCGCCGTTCATTTTAATCCGCTTGTTTCATTTATGTTCGTCTTTACAACGGTATATCTATATGCAATTTTTTCGCATAGGTGTTACATCTAAACACCTGTTATTTTTCCTCTATACATATACATATAATAAACTATCCAATAACTATCAGGCCGCGTGCTTTTCATTGGAATTTCACATAAATCAAATTCTTCTTTAAACTTGTTTTATTAACCAACGCTGATTCACGATTAAACGTCAACGGCGATGTCTACATCAATTTGCGTAAAAAAATTAATATCTCTGTAATAATATGGAATACGAAGACCTTTTTTTCCTTTAATTTTTAATTTATTTAAATTTTAATTGAAATTTTTTAACAATGATTTAGAATCTAGTATTAAAATGAATATCTTTGATAATATATCAATTATTTGAATTTGTAATGTGAATTTTATTATRAATTAATAGTCATTAATTAATTAATTTTTATTTTTCTTGCATTCATTGAGACGCAGTATCAAGAATAATAATTGACTTTATCTCGTACCTTTCTCGTACTCATTTGTATCATCGATAATTTCGTGTTGAACGATTTAATAGGATTAGCAAATGTCAATTTGATTACTCGCCTAATGTTTGATAACACGTTATCGTGTTGAAAATCGTGGCTGAGGACAAAGGGATTGTAGGAGCCATTTTGTTAAATAGAGGCCATCATAGCTTTCTGACGTCATACTCGACTATGGCGTCACGTGACGCTCCACCCTGTTTTCAATCACCTTGGCCTCGAACCCACCCAGCTGTCAGACACGCTCCACCCCGTTTTTTCCATTGCTTCTGACCTATCGCGATCGCCATCTACGGGGAGAACTTTGAACTCCTTAGACATTTGACGATTACTTGCTTTATGATTATACCGAAGGGTGTCACTACTAAACAAAGTCCAAATTTAATGGCGATAGAGAATGATAGAGATAAGCAAAGTTATTTCATTTGTAATCCCTACAAAATAGATTTCAACAAGTTTACTCTTGTCCATTATTTCTATGAAAAGTACTGACATATTCTTAACTAATAATAATACAAATGTTCTCTCTGCAACAGATAATTTGTAAAAAAAACAATTGTCCCTTTAAGACTGACCCTAAAAGAAAAGATAAAAGAAAATGGAACTCAATCCTCTCCTTAGTAGTCGCTATTATTATTCATACGTAACCTATTATCCCTTTCTCTTGGAAAAAAAGAAATAAAAAATAAGAGAGATTCGAAACTCGAAGTAGTAGAGTGATAAATTCCTCGTTGAAAGAGTGCCGATCGAGAGAAGGAGGTTATTAGAAAAACGATTAGTGATATTCGTTCAGTAAAAGGACGAAAAAAGGGGAAGAAAACGAAAACGGATATTCGAAGGAGAAAGAGTACAAAGCGATCCTATAGCAGAGCGGGAATTGAGTTCAAATCCTGGGAGAGAGGTTGAATTTATACAGGAGGAAAGGGTGGAAGAGGTATACGGCGCGCATGGAATCGCTATCGGCGGCCATTCATCAATCCAGGGAATCAATACGCTGGAATTAATGAAAGCGCCGCGCGAACAGCGAGCTAGCGGCCGGAATGTTAATCGCGATCGTCCCGCGTCCGACCCAAGCCCCGTTCTCGTGTACAACAAACTCCCAAGGGCCCCACCCTCGTCCACGTTTACCCCTTCAGCCCCTTCACCCTCCTCCACCTTTTACGACGAGGACCCCCACCTGCCGGCTCGTGCTCGGCTCAAATGCCTCTCTTCTATGTATTGCCGTCCGACGCACTCACATATACGCATATATACAACCATACGTTTGTCTGTATATCTGTATACACCAGTCCCACGCACTCCCAACTACTATTCTCCTATATTCTATTCGCCTCTCCGATATTCGATCGGTTCGGACGCTTTTTCTTTCTCTCGCCCCGAGAGAAACGATCCACGTGTAATTTCTATATAATCGTACGTTATCGCCAGCTACCGATCTTCCTCTTCGTTTATTTTATTTATTTTTTATTTGTTCTCTTTTTCTCTTTTCATTCTCTCTTTTGATTTTTTTTTTCATTTATTTTTTTATTTTTTATCTTGCTGGTACGAATCGAGAGGGAAAACGGACGATGAAAGGGCGTTTCGATGCTTTCTATTTTCATTCGTTCTTTTAATTATACATTGTAGATATATGGACTTTATAGATAGATAGGATGTTGATACGTGGATGTAGGTATTGCAGTTGAGATTACTTTTTTTTTTCAAGAGAAACAAATATTTTTATTTTATTTAAATTGTATTTTTTAAGAGATATGGATTTACTTATTTATTGTAAATGATAAAAAGCGTTTTTGTTTGTGTTGGTAGTTCGATTTTTTCAAGATACATCTTGACGATGTCAATATACATAAACAGAAAAGATGACGATCAGTCGGTATGGAAGATCTCGGTTCTAGATCGATAGATCGGTTTGTTTCTTCTGTTAGTTTTCTTGTTCGATCGATAAGAAACCGACGATTGATAATATCTACAAATTATTTACAACAAAATCCGTAATTAAAAAAAAATAATAAAAAATTCTTTTTTATTTTTATATATTATCCTTAATCGTATTTTTTCTTTGCTTAATATATCTTTAATAAATGTGTATTAAACAAAGTTGCATTTTTTATTACTTATAACAATAAACATATAATTTTCAACAATAACAGAAGAAAACATCCAAATAAATCAGCTTTACAATAGTTTTTATTAAACCATATCAAAATAAACAAAAATTTCTGACAAAATAAATGTGAAATAAATTGTGGTTTTCAAACAACAGGCTACTGTAACCCTTTTAAGAATAAGAAAACAGTGGACAAAAGAAAAAGGAGAATAGAAGAATAAGAAGAAAGGGCTTCCGAAAGAATTCAGTAGAAACGTTGGCCAAGGGAAGAGAATTTTTCCAAATTTAACGATCGTTTAGCCCGCCCACATAGAGAAGGTCGTAACAAGTTCGGCGTCTGGGCGATGGCCGTTACCGTGACGAGCACGTGTTCACGTCGCTTTCTGTCACTCAGAGCTCGACTTTACTCAGTTAACTCGGTTCGTCGGATAAAGATCGGCAAAGTGCGAGTCTATCGTCAAGAGACACTTAACTTCGTGCATTTTCAAGTTGGATCGAGGCATGACTCGACTGGGGACATTCATTTTAAATAATTTCACGGTTCACGACTCACTGTACAGATCTTCAGAATGGATTTGAAAATGATCCAATTCGTATACGTGTTCGTTAAATTACAATCATGGAGTATGATAAAGCTTAGTGTTTATATTATATAAATTAAATAAATTTAATAATTGAAACAATTGAAATATATGTTTAAGTAAAATGATATACATTTTTTTCCTCCATACAGTGCAGTGTCCCATACAGTGCAAGAGTTCCAATCTTTTCTTCCTATTCATTTCATATACGAAAATTAATCGGTGTACGAATTCTTTCTACATCCTCTGTATAATATTTTAATTATATTCGAATTTATCTGATCCAATTAAGAATTTATTTAAGAGATAATAATAGATTTTGATAGTTTAAGAGAAATATTTAATCGAGACCATTTTCTGTTTTTGTTCCAGGTGCGGCGTAATTTCGTCAATAGGGTGGGCAGAGGATCGAAACACATCCGGAGCAGCTTGGTGCAGTAAACGAAGGAATCATATCGGGGAAGACGAAGGACTCTGACAAGCCTCCCCTTCCCTCGTGTGCGCGACAACTCTTCTCCCCTTTTCGCGTCTCGATATTAACGTTCCCTCCCATCGTTGCTCCAGTTTCCGATTTTTCTTTCTTCGGTGGTGAGACAAGTGTGATAAAAATCAAATAATATGTACCAGTGATCAGAGGTGATGGTGGTGTGATACTACGAGAAGAGGGTGCGCGCGTGTCAGATTTATGTGTGTGTGAATAGAAGAAGCGAAATAATACGAGAGAGTGAGAGCGTGCGAGCGAGAGAGCGAGAGAGAGAGAGGGTGAGAGAGAGTGCGAGAGCGAGGACAAGGATTACGAAGATACACGGTTAGAGGTGATAAATATATAATATATGTAAATGTATATGTATACATCCATGTAAAGACGTGTGCCAGTGTGTGCGTACGGAGAGTACAAAAAGTTTAGTTATATAGGGGGTAATAGAAGAGGAGGAAAAGAAAAGATACAAAAAAAGTGAAAAAAAAAAAAACAGAAGAGAAGATTGAGGAAGGACAGTTTGTGAGAAGGAGTCTAGGAAAAGTAAGAAAACAAAATAAAAGAGAGACAGAGATTAAGAGGGTGGAGAGGGTGGTGGTGATATCGGCAGGTGGGAGAGGCGGGACAGTAGTAGTATAGCATGAGTTCGTATTTCGCGAATTCGTACATCCCGGACCTGCGAAATGGCGGGGTGGAACACCCGCATCAGCATCAGCAGCACTACGGTGCCGCGGTACAGGTGCCTCAGCAAACGCAATCGGTACAGCAACAATCGCAGCAGCCTGGCGATCCATGCGATCCGAGTTTGCTCAGACAGGCGGTGTCCGCACACCATTATGGGGCAGGTGGGAGTGCCGGTGGTGCCGGTGGACAGCAGGACATGCCATATCCGAGGTTTCCGCCATACAATCGGATCGACATGCGAAACGCGGCCTACTATCAACATTCACAAGAGCACGCTGGAATGGACGGTATGGCGAGCTACAGGTCGGGCTCACCGACCACGGGGATGGCTCACATGGGTCACACACCTACGCCGAACGGTCATCCTTCCACGCCGATCGTCTATGCGAGCTGCAAACTCCAAGCAGCTGCCGTCGATCATCAAGGAAGCGTTCTCGATGGCCCGGACAGTCCGCCGCTTGCCGTCGAGACTCAAATGCACCATCAAATGCACACCCAACACCCTCACATGCAGGCCCAACAGGCACAACAGACTCATCAACAGCAACAGTCCCAACACCATCTACAGGCGCAACAACAGCACATGATGTATCAGCAACAACAACAGCAACAGGCTCAGGGTACGACGCAACAGCCTCAACCTGGCATGCATCCTCAGCAGCAGCCTCAAACGCAGCCTCATCAGGGGGTAGTAGCTTCGCCGCTAGGCCAGCAACAACAACCCGCCCCTCAGGGAGCCGCCAGCGCGAACCTACCCAGTCCTCTTTATCCTTGGATGCGGAGTCAGTTCGGTAAGCAAGTTAACCTTTTATTTTTACTTCATACATGACTATCTTGCGAAATCTTCCCACGGACAAAATATTCCGTTTTTTCTAAAAATTCCTGTGATATCAGTGCATGATCTAACTATGTTCTACATTACACGTTTCTTGAAAATAGACTTGTGTCTTTCGTCGTAATCGGGACTTTTATAGAAACTTTCTCAGACCTTACTTCCTGCTGCTCGTTTCTTTTCAAATTTATACAATAAGCATAAAACTAGATCCAGATTTGTACGAGCTGTGACTCTGGATAGACGTATACGACTCTATACCGTATTTCTTAGGTAGATACTAGCTAACAACCGAGTTATTTATTGCTTCGACCTTTTAGCCCGGTGGTTTCACCATCTGCGGACCTGACCCCCATAAAAGTTATCTTATTGCTTGGCAACTACGACGAAGACAACGACGACGAGTCATTATTGTCCGGTTCTCCGATCTACGCTTTCGACTGTAACCTACATACGCTTTAAAAGTATTTTGAAAAAATAAAACCACGTAAAAAAAAGGAACTACTTAATTAATTTAAATTATTGTACTGCGATAAAAATGAGCACGAGCCTCTGGAATAATTAGCTTGTAGTCCTATGTGCATATACGTATCCACTACTACTCGATAATTAATCGTTTCCCATTAACACCACTCTCCTGTTTTCGTTATTTCCTGTGTCGCATTTTAATTAGCCACGATATTGCTACGTATTATTCGTTTCTACGTTTAAATATTCGTCGTGTGTTTCCGTAAACTCGCACGATATTTTGACTCTCTCTGTTTTTCTTCTTCGTGTATTAAGACCAAAGTGAAATCGAATTTCGAAATTGGTTCGTTCATTGGAAATTTTTAAGTATAATTTTATATCTTCAGGATATATTCCTGTGATTTTACTTGGGAATAAAAAAAGTCATTTCCAGACTGGAATTTATAAAATATAATCGACTCATCGTATAATTGAGGTTGAAAAGGTTTGATCAAAGGGGGTGTTACACAAAGGGGGGGGAGGTTAAACCGTGGGGTGTCCGGGAGTGTTACACAATTTCCAGGCTATCTTTTCTTTGCTTTTATTTTCCTATTTTTCTTTAGTCCCTCCGTTTCTTAGTTATTGTAGTCTTTTCAAAATATCATCCTTGAATTGAACAGATCTAGATTTACGTAATATGTAGCCTTGAAAATGACCCTAGGAAACTTTTCTTTTTCTATGCTGAATTTTTCTCGTCAGTCGTTGATCCTTCTTCGTCGAAGTTAGTTCTCCGGTTGAAATCCTGTGAGTTCGATCGTATTTGTTAACTTGTTCACGATTATTGCAAGGTAATAGTTTATATTTTATTAGATTTTATTTTATTTTATCCCATATAAATTTTTTTCATATTTTAATTGATTGTATAATTTTTACGTAATTTCTCACTGTTATTGACTGAGATTTGAATAGTCTTCTTGTACCATCTCTCGGTTAAGCTTGGAAACAACTAGTGGCAGGTAACAGCAAACGATTGGCCGATAAACGTTCCGGTTTTATGACGATGGTTGTTCACAGTCACTAAGAGATGAAGAAAGTGGACTGGGTCCCTCAAACTCCCTACAGATGTCGGCACGTAAAACCTGTTTTATAGGTCCAGTATTTTTTTCCTCTTTTTTTTTTTAGAAGCCATAACTTTGATCGATGGAGGTTTCTTCATTTACCGTAAAGACAAATTTCTTCTAGTTAAATAACTTCTGAAATAATAATACGAGAGTGAAATTTGAATCGATTAATTATCATTGAACTTGAATTCTCGTATCTCCGTTATAACAAAAAATTTCTTTAATAGAAGCATCGATTGTTTTTGTTTTTTAATGACCAATCTAATAGATAATTATTCGTTTATAGAAAATAAAAAGTGAACTATTTCGATTTTCCTCCGTTGCTCTTTATTTCTTTATACATTGCTAAATAGCAGCTGAGCATAGCGCGCTATAAACCGTGTCCCATGAATAATGCATGATTCAATTTTATAGATGCAGGTGCTCTCAGGCATTTGCGCCGTTGAAACCGTCGAGATTCGCTGCCACCTTTAACGAAAAAGACTTTTGCTTATATACATACGTTAAGAAATTCTGGCATAGTTAAGCGTATCCACAAAAGAGCAGCATGTGAATAAGTGGGTGCCCGTTAGCGTCGAAGATCGCGGAACATTTACGATTAGAAATCTGTTCGCGATTTGCCACTAGAATCGACAATTTCCTAATTTTTCCACAGTTAAAACGTTTTACACTGGAACGTGCTTTTAATCAGATACTATTCACACTATTTTCTATTTACCTTAGATACCTACCGTCTAGACTACTTTCTACGAGTCAGGAATGACTAATATTTTTCAATTATTTTTAGACATATCTTTTATTTACGACTAGACAAACCAGTGATTAACGAGTATACTCGTTAAGAAAAAAAAAAGATACTATGTTTTGTGTTATTGCATCATTTTTACAACACAAATTAGGCACATATTTTTTACCACAGCAAACTGATTAAAAAACAAATAGCAACTGGTTTTTTGCATGATGAGTATACTCGTCATATCACAGCTAACTGTTAAATATTTAAAATATTTATATGTTAAGGAAAATAAGGGACGATATACAAATTTAATAAGATAAGATATTAGGTAATAGAAAAATTAGATATTTTCATAAAACGATCGGAAGTGATAAGTAAAGAAAGCATCGATTTGAACAGTACGGTTAATGCACGAGATAATCGCGATCCTTGTACACCGAGAGATTTATAGTGCCCACCTCTTCTCCTACAAATCAACGTAGCTATACGATTACGTAGGTGTTAAGCTTCTGTTAATCGATTCGCACGAACAAGTGAACTACGAAGAGATAAAATCAGTTTAAAGATCGCATTTTTTAGATTATTGTTCATTCAAAGAATATTCAATTAAATACATTTTAATCTTTTGTTTTACGTTTTCTCATAAATTCATATACACGAGATAATAATTTATAATACTGATTTATAACGTATTATATTTTCTAATTGACCAATTCTCTCTCTCTCTCTTCCTTTCTCAATCTCTAAGGTCGATTCGATAGAGTAAAAATTTCTTCTTAAACGAATCTCTCGATTAAAAGCTAATAGAGTTTCGATGAGCTTTGGATCAAACGTTAATGAACTTTCCGAGAGTTTTAGATTAAACGTTAATGGAGTTTAGAAAAGTTAAAGAGAAGTCGATCTTACTGATGAGCCATGCACATACACGCGAGTTTAAAAGCATTTCGTGATTCTTTGAATTAACCTATTGCGATAGGAAATATTAATCGCGTCATTTCTCCTTGGAAATGAAACATGGATGTTAAGTAATGACAGTTTCGCTAATTGAGATTAATTTCATACTGTGCGGTGATAAGTTAACGATTAGCGCGTTATATAATTCCAACTAATTATCTGTGATAATAATTCATTTCATTCATTCAATGTAACGTAATTTATATCGATAAAAACGATATGAAAAAAAAAAAAAATGAATAATATCTTATTCGTTTGCGAGGACACAATATATCCATTCAGAAAGTTCTCCAGATATCGGTACGATGCGAGTTTCTGAGAAACCATATGGCAGGCGGATGGATTTGACCTTTGTAAAGCAGTCGGGATCGCGGGAATCGGTTAATTCTCATCCGACGAGAAAGAGATAGAAAGTGAGAAAAAAGGGGTGAAAGAGATAGAGAGAAAGAGAGAAAGAGAGATGAAAAAATAGCGAAAAAAAATGTATTTAGTTATAATTCGACGGAGAGGCAGCCTCTTGTAGAAGCTCTCATGATTGGTTACCGTAATGATGGCGGCTTCGTGAGATATTTAAAAAGGGATGGACTCGAAAAGGAGGTGTAGAAGGAGGAGCGTTGAGAAAATGGAGAGAAGAAGATAGGGATAGAAATAAGGAAAGATAAAGCAAGATAGAAAAAGAGACAGAAAGAGAAAGAGAGAAAGTGAGAGAGAAGGAAAGAGGGATAGGAGGATGTAGTTGCTGCTTGGAGAAGGTCGAAGGGACGAATGACGATGATGAATGCCTTAACAGACGTTCCGACTGCTTTTGCTTTTGAGCTACACCGCCATGACTTCTCTTTAAACAGAATAAGTATTAGAGAGAAAGAGATAAAGACGTGCATACCAATTTCCTAAAAGTTTTTGTTTTTCAAAAACTAAAAAAAGAAAAAAATGGAATGGAGAGAGAAATTGCGTTGGATTAGGAATGATTTGAAAAATCTCTTGTTATTCGAAATATTCGATCCAATCTGTAGAGGAATATATGGAAAAGAAAAAAAAAATAAAGCTTTCGATATGAAGAAAGAGGACCATGATGTTGCGTAGATGTCGGTTGAACCATTTTAACCGTTCATTATCTCTCGACTTAGCTCCTCGAGGCTTTCAGACTTTGTCTTCTCTGTTCAGCGGTCTTCTTAAGAGAAAGAGAGAGAAATAGAGAATGGGATAAAAAAGAGAATAAAAAAAGAGAGAGCATCCTCCGATATGCGAGGATTTCCTCTTTCTTTTTCTTGGTGAGACTTAGTTCTAAGTTCCTCGTATGAGTGTCGGCCAGGTTGACGTTCCCCTTTCTTGGGGTTACTTGTCGGCATCCTCTGTTAAATTCCTTCTTTCTCTCTCTTTTTCTTTCTTTGGCTCTCTTTCTCTTTGTACCTACACTCTACTCTCCAGGTGCAACACTTAAGATCACTTTCATGTCGTGTTCCCTAATCCTGGAAAAATAATCGTACGTGTCTCTTTCATCGAAATACCACCCCTTTGGAAAAGTTTAATCTTTAAATGGCTCTATCCGATGACAACATCCCAGCGTTCCTCGTTTTCTTCGATCTCTTAGACTTGTTCTTTTTTCTTGTCTTTTTTTTTCTTTTTTTTTTTTATCAAGGTAGGTACACTTGGAAAGAACGCAATTACGAGTGATTCGCTTCTAGGGATAGATTCAAGATGTTCCCACTTCTCGTTTTCGTTCAAGGGAAAAGACAAAAAATTAAGATGCATAGGTTCTTGTAAAATATGACGGAAACGAGACGAGAAATCGAAGAAACGTTGGTACCAAGCGTGTACGTGGAATTAGTTAGTAAAGAAAGACACACGCACTCATTCTAGTAAGGTCTGAGGTTTTGCTTCTTCAGGATTTCCTCTTATGAGAAAAGCACGTATTTCCTGAGTTTCGTGTTTCCAAAAAATAAGAACTAGGTATTATTCTTCTTGGAAAAAAAAAAGAAACGAAAAAAAAAAGACATTTTATCATACTTTTGGATTGTATTTAAGTGGCTCTAGAAGGTTTCCAGAATTATGATTACTAACGATAGCAAGATAAACAAGAAATGATCGGTAAGAGACGATCAGTGGTACCTAATCTTTGTTAAGACAGTCGATAAGAAGAAAAGCTGATCCGGTTTTCTCAGTTTTACGTTGAGAAGCTGCTGCCGCTATGTCGGTGCACTCGCGCGGACGGAGGTGACTTTAAACGCGGGGCAATAAATTAACGGCGTTGGGTTACGCAAGGATCAAATGTCCCCTGGAGTATGCCCGAAAGATTTATGGGTCTGCCTTCACTGGCGCAGCATGAAGGAACGGAACAGAACAGAACATACACAACCGTACGGCTTATTATAGGCTAGTTGCTCCGCTTCTCCTCCGCAACACTCTTCACCCACCTTACCGCTTTACCTCTCCACTTCAGCCTTCACCCTTCCCCTCCCCCTTTCTCCTCCTCCTTCTCGTCCTTCTTTTCTTCCTTCTTCTTCTTCTTTTCTTCTCTACCACCTACCTCTTCGGACTCCCTCTCGACTGGTCTTTCAGTCCCGCCGCAGGATATACGCAGGACTTTTCAGATTAACAGCTAGCCGGATGTTGTAATCCGCTAATAAGGCGTACCCACTGGCCACTGCCCAATTAAGCTAAACTTTACGTGGTCACCTTAAGGTCAGATATTTTAAGGAAGGTTTTTTAATTAAATGCCTATTGGCTGTTCATGACGAAAACACCTGAATTTTTTCTCTATCGTGATTACCGATAAGATCAAACTAGATGTTCTAGATTGATAGGTATTACTTGTTCTATATAATTTAAAGATATTAATCGTTAGAAATAAAAGTCTACCCATGTATCTGTATTAGATTCCTCATAGAAATATGGTGAAAATCGATGAATAACTACGATACGTTCGGGTTGATCTCTTCGTTAAGCGCTGAACACGTCGAACGCAATGAAGATCGTGCTCGAGTTAATCGAGCACCTGTTGGCGCTAACGATACCGCGTAACATTAATCATTGGTGTATAGATAAGAGCGAATTCGCAGGGATTTCCGTGACTATTAACTTATCCTCGCTGTACGGCCTTGTCTCTCCTCGTGGCTTCGGTGATCGATCGTTCCACCAAAAGATTTACTACGATCGCTAAAAGGTTTTTGCTCAGCGACCACTTGATCGACTGCTTTCGTTGTGTCTCTCGTACGATCGTAGAGCTAAGGTCGGTAATTAGATCGAGACTTTATGTAAAAGACGCTAACCTATACTGGCTTTAAACGTGACTTTGACAAATGTATTTAGTCGCTTGAACCCTTCCGATCCACATACATATACGTACATACACACACTGATTCCTTGACTTGAAACTTTGCAAAATACTTGATCATTCGAGATGGCAAAGCCAATGATCTGGATTGACTCTGACTCGTTGCTTGTCTATAATGTGCGATTAAACTACTCGATCGAAAGTCGATGACTACATTTATGCGAATACATGTTGTTACAAGATGAAATTTCTCTTGGTACAAATGTTATTTAATTAGGTACAAGGAGATTTAATAATAATARTATCTTGTTCGATATCGAATTCAGTTTTTAATTTCATAGCTTTTCTTACGATAATATTTTTATTTGTTAGTTACACAATAATGTTAAATGAAATTAATTATAACATGACTATATTGCATAATGGCCATCGCGCATATGAATATTATCATCATATTAATTTTAATGGAGAATAGTTTTTGTTAACGTTTCCGTTTTTCTATAATTAATCGTAGACAAAATCCGTAAGTGCTTAAGTTCGGAAACACTCCCTGATATTCGAGTGATACTAGGTGTGTGGAGGATCGCGTTCACAGAGTTGCTATGACACCGTTCGTTTACAAGCGCGTATTGCTCGTACGTGTAATCTCATACAAGTGTGTACAAGTACGGAACGCTGCCTGCCTCTTTAATTAATCCCACATGCCTCGACACCAAGACCAGGCTTATAATAACGTTACTTGTTACCAAAGTTTATCTATCGTTAATGAAAGAATTAAATAATTATATTTTTTATACTTTAATTTACAAAATTTGTGAATATCAATTTTATGTAAAAATTTTTATACTAAAATTATCCGTAACAAGAATTTTCTTGAAATAAATTTTACGCAATGGAATATATTTAGATACAAATATGCAGTACGTTCCAGGAAAGCTTTGGCAATACGTTTACATTCTTCGATTTGAACAGACATTATAATTAACTTCGTTAACTGGGTGTCGTGTGATTTTGCGCGCTTCAGACGTTTCTCTACAACGTCTATTGCTAGAAAAGACCCAATGATAACTGAGCTCTTTGATAATAAGATTGTTTTTAACAAATTAGTCCTATTTCGATGAACTCTTTATAGACAGACAGATAGTCCTTTCATCCAGAGGAATTTGGGATTGCTCATTAGTCGTATTTCTAGTTGCAAAAAATGTCTTTAGATCTTGATGATATACAATGAGTTTGTTAATAGTTAATAAAGAATCGCAGTTATTTCACAAAAATTAAGAAGAATCTGAACGGAAATTTTGAAAAGTTGATTATTTTAATCTAAATATGTTAATATTAGAAACAAACAAAAAACAAATCAGCGATAAAAATCAGAAAAGAACGAGATTGGTGAAAAAGACAAAAGATTAAAGTTAAGAAAGAAGAATTCTAGAGAAATGTTGTCCGAATTGTTAGACCTTATAAGAAAGTGCTAGAGATTGGTATGCTGTTAATTTGAGAGCGTAGCCTGAAGGAGGGAATAAGGGGCATGTTCTCAGAGTTCCCCTCCCTATCCCCTTTCTCTTTCTATCTCTCTTTCTAGCTGAGTTCTTCTTTCCCCTTTGAGTCTTCCATCTCAGCTTGGCCAAACGATTCAGAATCCTCGTAGAGTTGTCCGTCTCTCTTTTCTGCTGGAGAACCGCCATCCGTCTTCATCGGCCGACAGCGCGACGGGCGGCGTTTGCCTCGAATGCTCGCCAAGGAGTTTTCTTCTTCCTCTTCTTTTTCCTTCCTTTCTCCTCTTTCTCTCTCACTCACTCTTTGACTCCTTTTTTTGGTTTCCCATCTCTTTCACTCTCTCTCTTTCTATCTCTTTATCTCTCTTTTTCTTTCTCTTTCTCTCTTACTCTCACTCATCCTGTTTCTTTCTCTTTCTCTTTTTCTATCCCCTGTCTCTCTCTTTCTTCTTCATCCCAGCCATGAAATATTCTCGTTTTGCCCTCTCGCGCTCGTGTGGTGGACCAATCTAACTCTTTGAGATGATACCTCGACGAGGTTGTGCCTCTCTCACGGACTCTGCCTTGCAGAGCTAACTTTTTGCTTTTTCTTCTTCCTTTTTTTCTCTTTTTCTACTCCTTTCTTTTTTTAATCCTTGCACCAGCACCTCCTCCTTTTCTCTCTCCCTCTCTCTCATTCTCTCTTTCCTTCTCTTTTTCTCTTTAAGTCCTTTTTGCTCCCTTTCTTCCTGCGACTACAATTAATATTCTCCTTCGAGATTCGTGTAGAACCGCAGTGTAAGGCCGCAGATCAAGACGCGGATATCGTTAAGTTATCTATCATACGCAAATTCGCTTTCGCGCAACCCCCAGGTATTTGAATTTCCTCGGACTTTCGAAAAAATTCCTTTGCGACTTTACCGTCGTACTTTTCTCTTATCCCCCCGTAGGCATGAGAATTAATCTTTTTGTTATTCCATCTTGATATCGTTAATTTTTGCTGACATTTTTTAAATACCATCGTTAATCTACGATTTAAGATATAATTTATAATTCATAATTTTTTTCTTTTTTATATATTTAATCTTACGATATTTCAAATGAAAACAAATTAAATCTTATCTAAATAATATTAATATTTACATGCGTCGAAAACTTAATTATTAGTATTAATGACTAGCGTTATTGATGTACGTGCATTCGAATGAATTTATGTTATTATTTGAAATTAACTCATTTAACATAATTTAGAATATTGAATGAATTCAAATGTTAACGTTAACGATATTTATTCGATTTGTTCGCAGAAAGAAAAAGAGGCCGACAAACGTACACCCGGTATCAAACTTTAGAGCTGGAAAAGGAGTTTCACTTCAACAGATATCTCACGAGGCGGCGACGTATCGAGATAGCGCACGCACTTTGTCTTACGGAACGGCAGATAAAAATCTGGTTCCAGAATAGGCGGATGAAATGGAAGAAGGAAAATAAGTCGAAGGGTGATCCAGGATCGGGAGATGGCGACACCGAAATTTCTCCGCAAACGTCGCCGCAGGGTTGAAATAATCACCCGGAGGAGTGGAACTTCCAAAGAGGTCTCATCTCTCTCAGGGTCGTTAATACCTTATTTCCAGCACTACCTCCTTCCCCAAACCCCCTTTTGATGACCTCCCCCTCCCCTCCACCCCCAAACAAGCCCTCTATACACCGAAACATTCCCCCCCAAAACCCTACGCCCCTACCGTCTAATCATCCCCAACCAACAATGACGCTTCTTTTGTCGTGTTAATCAAGTTAATCAAGTACCAAAAAAGGACGACGTAGTAGAAATAGAAATGAATAAGACGCGATGAAGAACGTTCTCGTAGTATAGAAAAGAAGAGTGAACGATGACAAGGGATCTGTGGTGAGAGAGACAAGAAGAGTACGATGGTGAGGACAAGGACGACAAGATTGAAGAAAGAGAACGTAAGATAGCTGAAGGTGAAAGATAGAGAAAAAAAGGTAAAAGAAAATGAGACACGAAAGAGAAAGAGAGAGAGTGAGAGTCGGAAGAGAATTTATGGGAACGAACGATGTTAAGGATGTTACGGAATGAAGACGAAAAATATAAGGAACTGGATCACATGCTAATCAGAACCACGTTAACCTCTATTACATTTAAACGAACATAATTGTATTAAAGCCTATATAAGTATACGTCGTCGAAGGAAATATACGTGTTTTAATACGTTGATTGCCACGCGATTATTGTATGTCTTATTCCGAGGGTCATGGTATATAATTATTTTTATTATTATAAACTTATTATATGTATATATATTATATTATATTATATTATATATATTACATATATAAGCTTATAATACATGTATATATATATGAGTCGTTCATTGTTAAAATTATTAACTCCATTTTTAGAATTTTGAAAAATTTTCGTGCCAAAATACTTAATTAATACTTCATATTTTATTTTTATAAAATAAATTGTCTTCACATAATTAAGTTTTATACCATTAAAAGACAAACATACTTGTAGAAGTTTTATAATAAGTGACATAATTATTTATATAATTTAATTAATTAATTTTTTTAATTGTTTCTTTTGTTTAGTTAATCGATTTAACAAATGAACGGCTTACATATAAAATAATAAATTAATACACATCTTATGATTAAATGAAATTATATTATTATAATATTAACAAATATTATTAGTTTTTCATTGATGGTTAAATATATTTACCGTGACCCTACGATGAACTCGATGCAATGAACTACATTTTATTTAATGTTATGCAGTTATTTGGGTTATTGCAAATTTGATATTCAGGCGACATACGACTTGTAGTCATTTAATTTGTACATTTCTGTAGTAATGATTATCGTTGACCACAATAATCCTATTGGGAAAACCATTCACCGTGGCAGTCAACGTGTTAACGGAGATTGCGAGGATATCGATGCATAGTGTATGAGAAAGTATGAAGTATGAAGGAAGATGTGTATATGTATGTGTATATGTGCACTCGTAAGTGTATCTCTGCCTGTGTGATAGTTAAATATGTGTGCGTTGAAATTAAGTGAAGAAATAAAAGATTAAACCGCGTAATAAGTTAGACAAAAATGTTTTTATTATTTATTCTCTTACGTCGTATACACGTACACATAGTCGTAGAGAGCGGTTAGTAGAATATAAGAAAGAGAGAGAAAGAAAGTGAAAGAGAGAGAAAGAGAGAGAAAGAGAGAGAGAGAGAATGAAAGAAGAGAAAATGAGAGAGAGAATGAAAGAAGAGAAAATGAGAGAGAAAGAGAAAGAAAGAATGATGATGATCGTCTATCCGTAATTCTATGTAACGGTGGGATGAACGAGCACACTTTAGTGTTTTTAGAAATTCGTTAAGAAAGCTTTTTCGCTCAACTACCACTTCTGGTAGCTCAGTGAATGTATCTAGAATTTTCTGTGACCGTGCCAACGTGTGTAATCTTTTGAAACGTATTTCTCGCGTTATCAATACCGGAATACACGTAGGCAAAGAAGAGAAAACAAGAAAAGGGAATATTAAAATAATAGTAAACGAAAAAGAGAAACAAATTGGAAGATTGAATCGAGAATATATGGGAGATTAAAAGCAAATAAAATCAAATAAAAATCTATTACTTGTACTTATAAATCAGTGAAATGAAAAAAAAAAAAAAAAGGAAAAAGTGCGCGTATGGGTGTTTCGCCTGTTCGCAACGAGACGACAATTAGTGAAATACGGTGATAAAACGGAAATAATACGAAAAGAATTGGATAATGATAAAAAAAAAAAAAAATGTGAGGTGAAAGATGGATGATGAGAAGGGCAGAAGTATCGAACGGGAGCAAAGTCAGAAAAGTCTAATCTCTTTTTTTTTTAATTTTGTTTAATACATATAGATATTTTTTTGTTGCAACTAACAAGAAGAAAATGAGTGTTAGATATCAGAAAGAAAAAACAAAAAGTATAATTTAGGGAAGAAACGGTGGAGGTTTTCCGGCAGACCAGAAACCAGCCAACTTGACGTTTATTCATCGATATCGTCGCAAGGTCAGTCTCATATATGAAAAGTTAATATAGAAATTATTCGTTTAAATTGTATTAACGTTTTTAAATCGAATCCTTTTTTTCCGATAAAATCTATTCGTAAACCGATTAGAAAAATCGTTGATCAATCTTCTACCGTTTTGTGTTGAGCTCCAATGTGCCAATAGCTTCTTGAAAATTATTCAAATTACAATTCGATGCATTTATCACATACGTAAAATTATTTTCTTCCTTTGATTATTCTCTTTTCTCAGCAATCGAACGAAGTAAATACTTTCTACTATCATGGCTACCGGTTTTAATCGAAGGAAGATGTTCTGCGTATTTTTCTAAAGGGAAACGCGTTGCAATGCAAGTTTACGCGATCTTAAAACCGGTTCTTCCGATTAATCGAGTATAGTCGATAAAGAGAAAAAGATAGATAGATAGAGATAACGAGAGAAAGAGAGAGAATGAAAAAGAATGAAAGAATGAAAGAGTGAGAGAGTGCACAGCATCCATTATCTCAATTTACATGCATCTTCCTTCGACGGTGAAAACGCGCTTTAATGATCTCGATCGACCTTCTCCGGTATTACCTTTGAAATAATTCGCGTTCCCGGCACGACGACATTTTGTTTTTATAAATAATTTCATATGAAATAATGGGGAGAGATATAACAAATAAATGAATAAAAAAAAGGGGGATTTAGAGAAGTTAAGGGGGTGTGGAGTGTTGTCCAGGGTTTTGTAAGAGGGAGGAAGGTATATTCTCGCGCACGTTCGTCGATCCCTTCAAAATCGACTCCTGCTCCGCACGACGTGAGGCCAAGTTACCAAGTGATGTAATACATAGTGTATTTTTGGAATAGGATGTTTTCGGCATGAAACCGCTTGGCAACTTAATGCCGTCTCGAAAGTGGGTTTACTGGCACGAGATCCTCTCGTCGAGAGCCAAAGTATCTTTCGTAGAGGAACGGCACGTAATTTTGAAAAAAAAAAGAAGAAAAAATAAAATTAATACAAAAAAAAAAAATATAAGAAATAATAACAAAACAAAAAAAAATAATAATAAAAATAATTCAAAAGAAAAGAAACGATATAAAGACATTCTCGTTCGATCACCGTCCAAGTTTGCGACAAAAGTGGCATCACCATTTTGAGAAAAAAAAAAAAAGAAAAAAAAACAAAAAGATTCGCGTTACGGTATATTGCTTTGTCCAATTTTGAAGCAAAAAAAAAAAAAAAGAAAAAAGAGAGAAAAAAATGATTTAAAAAATTATTACGCTTTCCCTCGATCGCATTGCTATTTTGTCCATCAATATTTCTTACGGAAAATTTTGAACCTCTAAATGAATATCGTTCGTGTTAATTGAGCGTTTAAATAAAGGGACGCGTTAAATGTGTCAAGCGGTGAACCGGATAACCTGTCGGCTCGAACACCGAGCGTGATAAGAACGTAAAGTTCCTCCGATAGTTCGGCCGAAAAAACATTCGTCGTTAAGGAAGAATTCGATGAAATTCTGTACTCGGTGTTTTAATCCTAACCAGCCAAGGTACTCCGCCGCGGCGAAATCTGTGCTGTGTTGTAAACTTAGGCTCGACATACGTTTAGTTTATACCTGTATACACACATATACACATTTATACATATATACACTGGTACATACATACATAGAGACACACATATACACAAAGAACACACACAAAGACATACACCAATAACGATATACGTAATGAACGATATTAATGAACACTTAATGATAATTATAATGATACAAGTAATAAAGATAATGATAACGGTAAAAATAAACGGGCGGCGCTGCTGATGGAAGTATTAAATAGAAAAATGAAGTACACGAATGGAGAAAGATAAGGAATAAAAGATAAATGTCACGATCTCGAAAGTCGCTTTATAGAATGATATTCGAAAAGAATGAATGAATGAAAGAAAAAAAGAAAGAAAAAGAAATACGGGGAAAAGAGTACATACTTATGTTATTAAGTAGAAATCGTACGCGTTTCGTATGTACATATACTTATATATAAATATAAACATACTCTTCGAAATCGTCTCCCCCTATTTCGTGGATTGGAAAGATAAACGAACGTGAAGAACGTGCTTACCGATATACGTAATTAATGATCGATCATTTTGATCGGTCAACCTTCCTTACACTCGAAAAATTTATTTATGGAAAATCTTTTTGCCCTTTTGAAAGCAACGAATTTGTCTATAAAGAAAAAGTTTCCGGCTATCGTTCGTTGACACTCTTTTTCACTTGACTTCATATATCATTGAGACGATTTGAAAGGAAAAATTCAAAATCTATGTCATTTATTGAACGATCATTTGAAAACGATTACGATAACGATAATAACATTTTTTGTTTTTTTTTTCTCGAGTATATAATTATAAAGAGAAATACCGTGGGAGATCGTTAAATGTATTTATCGAAAGACGATCGATTCGTGTATCGTTCATTTGACCGTGACATTCATTGATATAAATTGATCGTCGATACGAAATGATCGACGATCAAACGTACATTCTCTCGTAGAAATTTAATCATCGAGTCGATGTTCGTGTACTTACTTACTTATTTACTTACTTACATACATACCTACATATATACATACTGCGTAATACACGTAAATGGCATTCGAAAGTAGCGTAATCATAATTGGCTTGAAATAACGTCGCCTCGGAGAAAACGAATGGTATCGTGTTTGCATTGACCGTAAAATCATTCATTTCATTTCTTCTTGTTCTTCTTCTTCTTCCTTCTCCACCTACGGTTAAAGGCGTTTGAAAAAGTGCATAAACATATTTTCTTCGCTCATAGATTATTGCCGTACCTTTCGTTATCTCGAATCGTTATCGGTGAGCTCACGGTGCACCTAGAATGCTAGTGTGACTCTTACTCTCGATAACGATTTATAAACGCGTACGATAAATCGATTAACCTTAACAGTTTGAAGCAAAGATCCTTTCGAGCATTTTGTCGATTGGCCACGACACGCGAGTTCATTCCAGATACATTAATCAGCGATAGGATCTATATGGGTCAGATAATAGTTGGCATTGAGGTGCCGAGGGTGCGGCTTTGCAAGACAAAGTTGCTATTTATTACCCTTACGCCACGATAACGGACGTGTTACGACACGGTTACGACCAAAGTCCTGATCAAAATTTTCCCTTTTTCCTTCTCTCGTTTCTT